GAGAGAAGGCATCCGAGCTTGATCCGAGCCGATGGTACACATTCTCGAAAGGAAAACAGTTGAGTCGGGAAGCGCGAATGAAAAGGCAAATTCTGTCGCGCGCCACGAAAGTTCTCGCTACGCCCCGAAACAGATCGTTGACGCAAAACATAAATCCGAAACTTACTGATTAACATAAACGACCTTCACAGGACTCTACGCGTAAGCGTCGCGTGGGGGTGGCCGGGATTCCTCGTTACGAAGTAGAGATCGAACCTGCCGTACCCATGCGTCTCCCTTTGCTGGCGACTCGGTATTGGCTCCTATCCCTGCTGCACATCCTCTCACCGCCTAATCATCTGGGTTTCTAAAATTACAGTTGTTGGTCCTGGGCCTACTTGATCGAGAGAGAATTCCGTCATGTGTTGTCATCGTACCGAGGTATACGGCAACGCCAGCCTGAGCTGAATGAAAGCCTACCCGATGCTGCATCGGCGATGCAGGATTCTGGCCGAGGCAGTTTCTGAATAGTTCAGCGAGTGCCTCATTTTCTCAGTCAGAAACCTTCAATGAGCTGACTAGCTGGTGCTACACTACCTCCTTCAGACACTTTGGCCGAGTGGTTCAGGCGGCGGACTGCTAAGCCGTTGGGCTATGCCCGCGAGGGTTCGAATCCCCCAGGTGTCGTCATCGTACCGGGTTACACGCAACGTCAGCCAGAGCTAAAAGGCTACCCGATGCAGGATTCGAACCTACGACCATCTGCTCCGTAGGCAGACATTCTATCCAGCTGAACTAATCGGGCATTCAGGAGCGAATCGTAAACCTCCTCGTCGGTCTGAATGTTTTCGTCATTGGGAGGTAAGAAATCAATCATTCGTTAACTGATTAATTGATCTATTGATAAGCAATTAATACAAAGAAACAAGATAAACTTTTTTATACATCACCTGATCAATTGTTGAATTGATCAAAGCCGATGAGTGATGAACCATTAGGTCAGCACCGAAAGCATAACCCGAATTTCCCATGAAGAGTAGGAAACTCCACGATGCCTCAGGTTCTTGCGCACTGAGTAGTCAGGCACACACATCAGCCAGCAATGATCGATATGACGAGGGGGCGAGAGCCGGCGCGGGCCCTTCTACAACTCTCTCCATCCATTCACTCCCTCCTCCTGCACAATGTTGATTTCTGCTGTAAGTGCGTTTTTCGCGCGTGGTGGGCATGTTGTATGAGGGAATGGGAACAGAGAAATCGACAGCAGCCGTTCGAAGCCCGCTTGCATTATACACTATAGGTAGCAGCGGTTAGATGCATGGGAGGTCGAGAGGCCGTGGATCCCGTGAATTCTGGCCGAGGCAGTTTCTGAAATGTTTAGCGAGTGTCCCATTTTCTCAGTCAGAAACCTCAAATGAGCTGACTAGCTGGTGCTACATTACTCTTATTAAGATACTTTGGCCGAGTGGTTAAGGCGGCGGCCTGCTAAGCCGCTGGGCTATGCCCGCGAGGGTTCGAATCCCTCAGGTGTCGTCATCGTACCGGGGTTCACGGCAACGTCAGGTTGAGATGAAAGTCTATCCAATGGGCTAGGGGAAAAAGGAAAAGAGAACAAGACGGAAGAGGGTCATGACGAGTGACAGGTAACACTGCTAATAACAAGGAAAGCCTGAGAACCAAGGAGACCTTCGCTCGGCGCAACGAAAAACACAAGTGACGTGACAGTACGACATCACGCAGCTAGGTTTCGAGTGAATTCATCACGTATGACAACAGCTGAGCTTCTGCCCTGGCGCCGTCAAGTAGGCCGCGAACATTTTACGTGTCGAAGAACCCGAAGAACGAAACACATTTCCGAAAAGACATGAACGCAAAGTGAACCACCTCATTGCAGAGCTCGTCTCTGTCATGCTGCATTACAAGTACCCATTGGCTCGAGCTCGCGGAGTGACCGGAAGCCGAAACATCTTAACGATACCAAAAGCTAGTACATCCTGCGTTCAACCCTTGTCGCTTACTCGTATGCAATCAACTGCCGTCGTCCTTGGTAACGTTCCCGCTTCCAAGCATTCTTCCGTCCTAAACAGTCAAGCCTCCACTGCGCAACGCGACAACGGACGCCACTAGTTGTGGCCCACAACCATCACACTTCATTCATTCACTATCAAGACACCACGCTGTCTCAGGCTATAATAAAATGCGATAGCCAACGCATCATAAGCTTCATTCTAAGGGAGTGGGCTAACTTAGCCCGGCTAAGTACTCGGGCTGACAGTAGTCGGGACTTCAGTCGCTTCGGCAGTAGTCGGTGGGGCTTCAGAGGTGACCTCAATGGAGGTAGCAACACCAGTGGTTGTGACCGCCGTGACCACATCAGTCGAGGCGTCCGTGGTCACCGCCTCGACTGTTGAGATAACAGCTGTAGTAGAAGGCTGAGTAGTCTCGGCTGATTCATCCTTCTGATCTCGTCCGTCCGCGTCGTCGATAGGAGTAGTGACGAAAGCCTCATTAGTGACAACCGATGGCGTTGTCTGCTCTGAGGTGGCCGCTGTGCTGGTGGGTTCGGGGGTCGCACCAGTCGTAGTCTCTACAGGAACACCAGCCGTAGTCTCTACAGGAGCATCAGTCGTAGTCTCTACAGGAGCATCACCATCGTCCTTCTCCCTGCCGGGAGATTCTCCGGCCTCGGTGGTAACGACCACTTCGTCAGTGACGGGAGCCACAGTGGAGGTTGTCAAGGGCGTGACTGCGGCAGAGGTCTCCACGGAGGTATCAGCGCTGGATGTGGAAGAGGTCGTCACATCCACGACGGGAACAGCTGTAGTGGTAACTACAGTAGCCTCGGCAGTTGTAGTCTGGTCATCATCCTTCTGGTCACGGCCAGGGGATTCACCAGGCACAGTGGTAACATCAACCTCGTCGGTAACCACGGTTGGAGTGCTCAACTCTGTGGTGTCGACAACAGCCGTAGTCATACTAGTAACCTCCGAGGCAGCTGTCGTCTCGACAGTCGAAACCTCAGTAGTATCGTCAGTACCCGAGGTCGTAGCCGGAGCTGCAGTGGTGGAAATGACAGCCGTCTGTGTGGTCACATGAGTGGTGGTCTCCTCGTCCTTGTCCTCGCGAGCAGGAGCTTCAGCAGGTGTTGTAGTGACCGAAACCTCGTCGGTGATAACCCCAGGAGTTGACGAGACTTCGCAAGTGCAAGGCACGTTGGATGCATGGCAAACGCTGGGAACCTTCCAATACTTGCAGTACGAGCCGGGAGTATCCGCGGCACAACCGGCGTCGCAGTTACGAGGGGCTTCCGTCGTTGCACTCGAGTAACAGGAGCACGGGGCGTTCGACCCAAAGCAAGTGCTAGGCGTCTTCCAGTATTTACAATATGATCCTGGGTAGGTAGCGGCACAGACAGCGTCGCACTCGGCGGTAAAACCCATCGCGTATGGGACGACCTGAAGGGCACCGAGAGTCGAGAGGACAGCGACGGAGAGGGAGAATACTGGCATGTGATAAGAGACTAGTGGAACCTGTAGACGATCGCGTTTGATTCGGGAAGTACCCAATTGCGCTTAATCTGCTACCAGTCGCACCGATCTACTTCATCCGCGCCCCGCCCGAGCGTTTCGGAAGATTCTCCGTCAAGTGCGGCGACGCTGCACCTCCTTCGTTCTTTTCTGCGGTCCAGCGGAGCTGGGTGCTCCCATGGTAAGACCCTCTCTGGGGAGAGGCTCGAGCCGATGAATAAGTACGCACACGTTCTTCGGGATGATGCGTGTACTGTCGGCCTGTACTTCCTGTCTGACGCCTATCCGACGCTTAATAACAATACACTGCAGTTGAGCTGCGATGATGATGAAAGTGTGAAGAGATTTAGAGGTCTTGGAGGCTGACCTAATCGAATGAACATCCGTAAGACATTTTGCATGGCTATTCTATCATCTACACTCCCACCATTGTAAGTGCTGCTCTCGACTTTTTGATTCGTTCGTGCGCGATATGTCTCACGATTCCATCGTCCAACTTATATTCCACTACGATGAGGATACGCATCAGGTGACTCTCGCTTTCGTCGATGAGCCGATGCTGATGGGAACAAACGAGTTTCGTATTGTGAAGTACAGCTAGAGTAATTAATCGTCTATGTAGTTTTCTGCAGTCAGCCATTGGTCTATCTGGCGGACACTTCCAGCACATGGGGTCTCGATTCTGTGATATGACGGTACACTAGCATGCGTGGTCGATGACTTCTTTTGCTTCCGACTCCTGAGTTGGCTAGTTGAGAAGAAGTTCCATTCGCATCCTCCACACAGTCAGTGACACCGAGCACGCAGGTAAGTGTAGTATTTCTTTTCTGTGTAGTGGGGACCCAGTCTTGAGGAGAGAGTTCACAGCTATCAGGAGAAGGCGAAAGCCCACGACTATTGTTCATCCGTCGTGGCCGAGATGACGAGAAGAACCTAACCGAGAGCCGAGTCTTTACACTTGCTCCACCTTTTCGAAGACCATCTGTACGATCATTTCCGATATACTTCGGATAAATTGAGTTTCACAAACGAGTCTCTAACTGGGATCAGTTCTGTCGCCGCGCCGGGACTAACTCTGATACTCTGATCTCTTTGATACGTTCGCTGGGTTACATATCTGATCTATTCCATCGTCTAGCTCATATTCCAGTACGATAGGGATATGCGTGAGATTACTTTCGCAGCCTCAATGAGCCGATGCTGATGGAAATAAGTGTCGCATTGTGAAGTACAGCTAGAGGAAATATCGAAGTAGTTCTCTGCAGTCTTAATGCGCGAACACTTCCAGCACAAGGGGTTTCGATTCTGTGATATGGTGGTACAATAGCATGCGGGGTCGATGACATATTTTGCTTCTAATTGGAATCACGTCCATTCTACGTCTCTGGTCAAGCTAGTTATTGAAACTGGACTTTTAAGTTGGCTGGTTCACTACGGTGAGAAAGAACTCCAACCGCATGCCATCTTTTCAAGATTTCGGTCGAGAACTAGATGAACTCGGTGCAGGATTCAAACCTACGACCATCTGCTCCGTAGGTAGATATGCTACCCAGCTGACCTAATCGAGCGATAGTGGCCTTTTTTGAGCCTCCTAGGCGGTCGCTGAGTCCATACGCGTAGCTCATAGCTAACAGGGTTCCGCGTAAACGCGACCAGCATGGAGGTGGAAGGCGTGAGCAGGTCTGAAGCAGACACTTTGGCCGAGTGATTAAGACGGTGCCCTCTGATTAAGACTGTGCTTGCGGAGGTTCGCATCCCTCAGGTATCATTGTCAATTTCAGATTGAACTCAGTGCAGTGAGCTGTGAGTGAGCATTCACCGCCGAGTACGACTGCATCAGTCATGAAGAGAAGATGACCTTATCGATGATTTGCATGCGGGATGGCGGAAGATGACTTTTCACCCATTTCTGAAGTTCGAAGTGCAACGGCAGCAATCGAGACTCGTCCTACAGCTGCCTCAATTAACAACCATAGGCCGTTGAATCGGCTCATCATGCTCGGTCCGCCGGGTCGTCAACGGGCCAGATCGCTGCGCAGGTTTCGACCCAACAACACCACTTGCTGAGTTGACGTTTCTCTCGTAACTCCTATGAAGCCATAGTCACGTTGATAAGAATCAACAATTCTCTAGTAAGGGATGATGTTAAAGTTTGTTACAGTCGCTTCGGTCGTCAATGAGTAGAGATACGACCATATTCCCCTGCCGAACAGGACCGATGGATCGCGAGGTTGTGGTCGCGAGAGACCAGTCACCAGAAAATGAAGCACCAAGAGCCGCCGCGGGTAGACCTCGGTCGATCATCGTCAACTCCATGCACGCCGGGTGGAGGCTGCCAGTGCTCCCTGTTCTCGATTCGGCATCACAGGGCCGTTATGTAGTGTCTCATGTCTCCTCAGTGGAAAGGCGTCCGTTAGAGAAGCGCACTGTGGGGTTGCGAAAGAGCGGCATCGATCTCCTCGAAGAAGCATGCAGGAGAATGGGGAAAGCCCCGGAAGGTCGGTGAAGCGAGCAAGGCCGAGCCTAATCGAACCCGATCCATGTAGCCTCACTAGCATGATTCAAGTCAACTTGAATAAGTCACGGTTGTCACGAGTCTCGCGAGGTTATCTTTTTCTCTTCATAGAGGAAGCACCATGGCGACAATATCTCAAAGACCAGTGGCTCGATGGTCGCGGGGCACTAGCTAGCTTATCGGAAGCTGAATGGGCCAAATTGGAGATCCCCATCGGTCTGCGGTCTGAACTTCGGAAGTGAGCACGGTACAGCAGGGAGTTTCGCCAGCATCAGCTAGGCAACGTGGTTACCCAGGAATTGTTAGGTTAATCTCGGAGTACGAGGAAGTTCTAGATAGACAGAGACAAGCGGGGGCTTCATCACTTGAGCGAGTTGGCCGCACTGGCAGCTCCGGTGGGGCTGTACGGCGTCGTGCCCTCCGAGTACATCGCGCCGTAACAGGGACATGTGACTGTTACTTCAGGATCGAAAAGGAAGTCCAGTGGGAACGCGCAATTAGACGGGTAATTTGAGAACGACAGCTGGTCATACAGCCATTCAGCTTCCGGACTCCCAGTGCTTCGGGTTCCTGCTCCCTGCAGGTTCAGGAACTTCGAGTCGCCATCATGGGGGGGAGTCGATTTCTCGAACAAACTCACCGAGATGCACGGCAAGAAGGAGATGAATGTCGGCATTCTCCATTGACGCTTTCCTTCCAACTTCTTGAAGCGAGGCAGTTTTCGGTCGAGCGCATTAGATTGTGAATTCACAGCTCGGAAAGCTTCAGTCGAAACTCAACAGCTTTCCCCTTCCATGAAAGTCTTACTCGCTCGAGCGGGAGACAATCGTCCAGTAGAGGTGGTCGTGCCTCCCTTCCAGAAAACTCTAGAAGAGCTTCGCAAGAAGTTGAAGTCTCGAAGCGCGGGCGACATCTACAGCTTGGGTAAACTATTCCGCATCATCGACGACGACGGTGATAGGAAGGTAAACGCGACTCGGGAATCTTCTTGCTAATGCGCTTCCCCGATGCGATACCGAGGAGCCGTCGTGGGAGCCTATCGAGGACTATCTGCTTCTCGAGTCGGCAATTCGTGTGTCTGAACGTTGTTTGTGTGATGAGTTCAACGTTGTTGTTGTTGCCTCTCCAGTTGAGCATGGAGGAGTTCACCAAGTTCCTCAGAGAGATAGGCGTGCGGAACCAGCAGGCCTGCACGCTGTTGTTCCAACTCTTCGACTCTGACTCCTCCGGCACGGTCGATTACGAGGAATTCCTCAGGGCCATACGGGGTAGGCTGATGTGTCGAAGGGCTGTGGCGTCTTTGGTGAGGATCATCATAATGATTTCTCCGCTTTGACCTCGTGGCTGTTCCACCTACAGCTACGAATAGTGCTATTCGACCTTCTCGAAGTGACGTGAATGATCGGAGGTGAAATAAATCCAATATTTCGGTACCAAACGACACTTCGTACCGAACTTCCATACGATGATCTCACTCATTGACGCCCATCGTAGACGATTCCGCAATAACATAAAATTATCGTACGACGGATGCTTCTCATGGCTTCACTTGCTGACTCGATTCTGCGTTCCTCATCAACGACCCGGATTGCCATCTAAAACACATCGCGATCAGGAAAAATGAACAACCGTCGTAGAGAGGCGGCCGCGGACATCTTCAGCAAACTCGATTCCAATGGCGATGGATTCTCTAACTTCCGAAGATGTCAATTGCCTAAATCCATCCAACCATCCAGATGTGAGACCGGACGGCAAAAGTTTGTATCGGCAGGCGGGCAGAAGCCCCCCAAGAATCTCGACAGGTTCGAGCGGGAATCAGACGCCCAGGAAGAGATCTTCGCGGAAGTCATGCAGGTCTTCGACGCTAACCACGACGGAAAGGTGTCCCTCAGCGAGTGGCTGGAGTGAGTCGTTTGTGAAGCCCTGGGCTCACTGAGCATTTTCTGTTGAAAATCTCATGGCATGTGCGCCTCCGTGCCCTTACCAATCGTCACTCCCGAGTCAGCCTCGTGAGTTGGCAGCCGAGACTGTCATCGCGCTAGCGGTAGATTTAATCAGAAGATCTCCATTATGCCTTGGAGATCTGAACCCTCGGATCCCTCCACAGAGGAAAATCGTAACGAGATGTACGTTAGACGAACCTTCCACCATTCGGTTGTATACTCGTAAGCGTTCCATAGAGGATTCCTTCAAGATTCGGGTTTATGAATATTTCTTCATCGAGAGAGTTTCTCTAAAGCGGAAGAGACTAGCTTGAAACACTTCTCTCCATGACCCGTTGTTACGGCTGAATGATCGGTATTGAGATTGGCGCCTCTCTCAGATATTACGGAGCGGTGAGCGCGTCTATCGACGACGATGAAACTTTCATTCACATGCTGAATAACGTCTGGAAGATGCCGGGGTCCGATAGAGACATGGCCGACAAATACCGCGCACGCATGTTGAGAGACTCTCCCACTCGCTTGTGGTGATTCATAATTACCGCCGGTGGATTGACGTTTACAATGCTAACAGACGAGTAGAGTTGAAAGTATCCGTGTGGCGGGCGGAATTCTGGTGGAAGACAACGCCAACTCACGCGCACAGGGAGGCCCTTGGCGCACGAAACAGAATTCCAGGTCTTCGAGCGGTCCAAACGGCGCTGTTCTCCTTCCCGTAAGATGATTCTGCTCTTAGAAAAGAGCCGTGGGCTGCATCATAATCCTATAAGACGCCAAAAGCGTTCAGTTCATAGTGTGCCACCTCCAAATATTATCGGGACCTCATCATCTAATTGTACTCTGGAATATCATTCGTACCGGAGATCAAGCGGCTAGATTCTGACGCAGTCTCTCGTTGTTTTCCTTTGAAAGAGGATTCGCAGCGGGCAGGGTCTGAGTGCCGAACGCGAACCACAGTAGGATTTGTTTGCTGATGATGTTTGTCGTCGCGTTGTTAAGCACTCTGATCCTCGAGGACTCGTCCGCAGCCACCCTCCCGCTGGGACCATCAGGTCCGTATTATCATCAACTTCAAGCTGACCCTTATCTCTGCATAGGAATGGACTGGCTGGAGCCTCCCCAACCACGTAATCACTCTGAATGGGTCGGTATATTCACTTTCAAGTGTGATAATTTCGGAACCTCTGAGGAAGTCTCGGACATGATCGAATTCAAGAGGCAAGAGTTCGATGTGAACCAACCGTGGCTTTACTTCTCATGGTCCCTCGACGAAATTTCGAAGAGCCTGGAAGCCTTGAGGGCTTGGATGCTGGAGGGTCGGAGCTGCGACGTTGACTTAAAATACTATGACGGAGACGCTGACGTCATCGTATTCAACAGGCGTCTGCAACGAGTATCATTTAGATTGAACGGAACACTGATGACCTTGGATCGAGGAAGGTGCCCGAACGACACTAACGTCGATATTAGTGGCCTAGCTTCTTCAGAAGGATACGACATCGGTCATTGGTCAGACGACTCTGTGGCCAGTCAGGTTGCGCTGGTACCCCCGGACAAGTGACACCCTCGTCGTGCTCGAGATGGAGGATGACGAGGCGTATCATTGAAAGCCGTATTGATGTGATTGATTTCAGCAAGACTGCTGTACATGATGTTTATCAGATGTTTGCAAACCATAGTCAGTACTGCGTTCGTCTCGAGTACCGGATATCAGAAAGTTAAGTGAAGAGCAAGAGCCACCGAGCAGAGGGCCGCTGCTGCTGAAAAGTCTGCTCGCAAAAGGGAGACACTTGCTTCTGACTAATGAGCGCGTCAGTTTACGGCTCAACGCCGTCGCCGGATTAGTTAGACACAGACGAGCTGGATCCTCACCCTGATCATCCGAGTCAGTAGCCCGTCTTGGATGATCGGAAGTTGCAGCTGAAGATCTACCAAGCTTCGACGCTCGACAGAAACTGCCAATCGCATTCCCAAGATCCCAAACGCCAGACTTCTCATCGACAGAATGAGCACGCCCATCAACCAAGAGTAATCAGAAATAGTGTCGCCGCTCATTGCTATAAAATACGGGTGACGCCATATTGAACACTACCAGTGAAGCGCTCGGTCT